ACTCCAAGTCACATATGGTGGAGTCACTCATGTCACTCATGTGGTAGTGGCTCTTCTCACATGGGATTTGGGGCATCTCTTCATATGTGGGTGTCGGAGAGATGTTGGTGCCAATGTCTCCATGCTCAACGTTTATCGCCGCCTTGGTTGAAAGGATAGTCCCATGCTCAACCTTCTCGCCGTTGTTGCCGTGGATGAAGGCCGAAGATGGCACATCATCACTCTTGCCTCCAAAGATGGAAGCATCATCCTTGCTCGCCACCGTGTCGCTCGCCTTTAAAGCTTGCTCCTTGAGGGTCTCCATAGTTGTACTCGTCACCGCACCGTCTTGAAAAAGAGTCGAAGTAGACTCGGCGTCATCAATGCCGCAAAGAGGGATGGCGATGGAGTCGAACTTGGGAGCGTAGTCTTGGAGCTTGTCGGTCTTGGACAACGTGGTGGTACTAGCCTCACGCTCTCCGTCCTTGAGGTTGGTCTTCGATAAGTGTGCTTGGGGTGGAGAAGTCTTGGCCTTCATAAGTTCTTGTTCCGCCTTGAGAGCGCCAATGTAGTTGTTGTCGAGGGACTTGTAGTTCTCGAGGAAGATAATCTTGGAGATGTCGTTGTTCAATCCCATCATGAAGTAGAACTTCATCCAAATGGGGTTGTCCACACCGGCTCATCGCAAGGCTGTCTTCATCTCGAGGAAGTACTCGTCGAGGGACTTGGATCCTTGGATGGTGTCCTCCAATTGGCGTTGAAGATGTTCCGTGTAGGTGGAAGGCAAAAACGCTCGCCGCATAGCTTTCTTCATCTTGGGCCAACTCGTGATGAAGGTCGTCGAAGGTGTATGAAGCCACCATGTCGATGCGTAATCGTGGAAGGTACTTGAGGCACGCTTCACTTGGTCTTCGGAATGGACTTGATGTAGCTTGAGGTAGTCGTCCATCTTGCACTCCCACTCGAGATACTCCTCGGGGTCTTGAGTCCCATAGAAAGGAAGCTCGTGGTCGGTGTCGAGGTCGTAGTAGCTCGTGGAAGTCGCGGACTTGAGCTTGGGGAGCTTCTCTTGATGTAGCACTCGTTTCGCGATGAAGTGGTTCTTGGAGACAAAGCCGGAATCATCACCTTGCTCCTCGAAAAGTGGGTTCGACAACGAGCTTGGCCTATCCATCCTAACCAAGCGGGGTGAGTAGGAAAGTGAGAGAACAATACCAAAGTTACCTTCTCCGAGGATTGAAGATGTAACAAGTGTCACTCAATGTAATGCCACAATAGGAGAATTGGAACCGGGTTTGTTTCTCACACCTACAAGTAAGAGGCTTATGGAGTAGCTCGGTTAGGAAATTTCAAGCAAATGTTAGTCAAGATATTGATAAGGTTGAGAAGGTTCACAAAAATGCAAGTAAAGCAAATAGATCAAACCCAAAGGTATCACTAGGTACACACGCACGGAAGATAGATGGGATCCGCACAACCAAGGGGTGAGCTCAAAATGTGCAACCACAGAAAATGCTCTTGTTGTGCGAATGCTCGAGAGACACTAGCTCGATTGCTCAAATGGGCAAGATACGCTTGTGCACCTACCTATGAGAGAACCGTGCCGTCTTCAATCCCAACTATGGTATAGATGCAATGACCAAGATGATATAGGTATGCAAATGGCTCAACTCTATTGCTTACAAGCTCTTTGTTTCTCCTCTTTTGCTTAAAAGATTTTCTTCTCTCTTTTTTTATGCTTGATGCTCGAGCCGAGTATGATATGAGGCAAGTATGTATGATATGCACGGGAGAGACTTATGGCACTAAGATGATAACATGATCACTACGGTGCACAAAAAGCGTGGCCCGACAATTCTCAACTTGCTAGTCTCAATGGGTAAGCGACACAAAGTGGCTCGGGCTATCAATGCAAAAGCAAGGTAAGGAGTAAGTGTCGTCGAGGTTACCGTCCTTTCTTACGGTTAGCGATGAAGATGACTCCGAGTCGATGATGGTGACGAAGATGTCACACGCTCCTAAGTAGCCGAAACACCTTAGGAAACGGAAATGTCAACACAAAATCGGGCAAATGCGGAAGGTTGGTGTTTTTGTGATGATTTTTTGGATGGGGGTTAATGGTGGTGGTAGTGGGATGAGTGGATGGGGGATGTCAAGAGCTTCTAAACGAGCTAAAGAACACGAAAACCGGACTTGGGAGGTGGAAATTATGGCCAAAACGGTGTTGGAAGTGGGCTGATTTGGGGGGGTGCGGGCACCCAGGGTGTGAGGTGCGGGTGCCCGGGGGTGGCTGGGCGCGGTGCGGGTGCCCGGGGGTTCGAGGTGCGGGCACCCGGTGTTCTTCGGGAAGGGCGGAAAAATTGGGAAAACGCAAAATTCCGCGAATTTCGTGGTGGGAAGGGTGGGGATTGTTGGGAGGGGCTAGATCCACTTGCCAAACATCAAATCCATGGACCAAAACAACCAAATCTGACAAGATCCAACAAATTGCAAGAAAAATTTTGGGGGCTATTTTTGTGGGGATTTTCGGATTTGGACGAAAAACAACAAAATCAAGCTAGCAAATTGGGGGGATGGGACTCCAAGATGTGAATAAACCTTGCTCATGATACCAAGATGTTGTAGGGTCAAACCCTAGGAAGGATCTTTTCACACTTGGAGGGGGAAAATGAGGAAAACACTCAAGAACACCAAGAACAAAACTCTCAAACAAACCCAAATATCACATCCACTAGAGTAGCATACATGAGATCCACAAGATTACAAGATCAATACAAGGAGAGTAGCACTTGGTAAATTCTTCCCACTATGTGAGGTCTTGACGATCTTCTCCAATAGGAGGCCTTGACAATCCAATGGATTCTTCCCTAGGTGGGGGCTTGATCTCCTAAGAGGAGGGGATACAAGGAGCAAAGGCTCACAATGTTTAGTCTAATCTTTGCTATCCTTCCAAATGAGCTAGGGGATGGATATATAAAGCCTAGGGACGAAGTGTGTGTGAGAGAGGGGGGTACATGGGCCAAAAGGCCAAAAGCACACGGGCAGTTCCGGAGGTGTCCGGGCACCCGGGGCCAAGGGACCGGGCACCCGGACCGGTCAGAGGGGGTCACCCAGTTCGGCCGGGCACCCGGGGCGAGAGGGGCCGGGCACCCGGCCTGGACAGGGGCCGGCTGGGAGGTGGCCGGGCACCCGGGGCTACGCCAGGAGGCCGGCTGGGATGGGCCGGGCACCCAGGGGGCCAAGGCCCGGGCACCCGGGGGTGCGGCTGGAGGCTGGGCCAGGGGGGCCAGGCACCCGGCGGGAGAGGACCGGGCACCCGGGCCAGCCAGGGAGGCCGCGGCCTTGGTGGTTGGAGGTGGCCGGGCACCCGGGTCCTTTGGTGGCCGGGCAACCGGAGTGGTCCGTGCCCTCCGTTGCTCCGTTCTTCTCGTTCCCTCGCTGCTCTTCCTTCTCCATGGTTGGTTGAATCTCCGTCCTCGCGTCCTCCCGGTCATCTCCTTGGTACCTAACAAGGCACAACGTTTCTATTTGAGGTAGGCCTCGATTCTCATGTGAATTCGAATGATGTTCGAAGAGGAAAGAGTTCACCTCGTTCTCAATGGCGCGTGCGCCGGCTCTTGTCATTTGTCCTCTTGGTGTTTGCGGTGGTGATGGAGTGTCGGTGCGAATAGTTGAGGGATGCTCCGCATCATATAGTGTGTCGTGAAGCACTAGCAGTAGCCGAAAACCTCTCTATGCAGAATTTTTCCGGTGGCGTGTGATTGCAGACCGATGGTAGTTGACATACCTCTGTACAGAAACCCAACCTCTCTCTGTGTAGCTAGTAATCTTTATTTTTTCTTGAAAAAGCTAGTCTTCTTTCTTTTGAGGAAATTTCCTTTAAGAAAATTAGTCTTCAATGAAAGATGGGCCCTGGCCCGAAGTTTGGAGGGACGAGCCAATCAACCAAATAATAATCGAAGCAGAAGTATGACCCAAAATGCGAACCAATATGTGGTTGGATGGTTAGAGGGACAGTGGTATCCCAAGTCCTGGTGCGCGCATTATTCCTGAATTTATTTCACGATTTCCGGCAATACGCTTTCAGTGGAAGGAGATGTTCCCATCGACGACGAGACGCCTACGGTGACTTCGTAAATCTCAAGATGATATGCCGACTCAGTCTCTCGAAGGTGCTCATAGGGATAGGGTGTACATGCGTGTTTATAGGGATAAGTGTATGCGCGTATATGTATATGAGCGTTTGCGTCTGTACTGTGTAAAAAAAGGGGGTATGTCTAGGACACATCTACATGTGACATAGTTATGTCACATCTAAACTGATGTCCAATCTGTTTGTGGTTTATTTATTTTTTGTCCTAAATTTTTTTGTTTCTTATTGCTGCATTATATATTGAGAGGTTAGATGTGACATTCTTAAAAACATCTACCTACTAGTATATGTGAATTAGACAAACCGTAAAATAAATTTAGTATGATCCAAAACGAATATCCAATTCTGAGCTCGGGCTCATCTGCACCTGCTCAAGAAACAATTCATAAAAAAATTCAAAAAACCCTAGATTATTTGGTGCGTGAGGTGCGTTCCAAATTTCAGAGCATTTGAACATTTAAGTAGCTCTCAGCAAAAAAAAAGTCAGAACAATACATGAATAGTACACTATTTAACAGACCCTAAATTTGTCTTTTTTTCCAAGAGCTACTCAGTCGTCCAAATAATTTGAAATTTAGAGCGGATCACACACCAAATTATCTACCAGGAAAAAAAGATTTTTTTTGAATTTTTCTAGTACTTGTTTTGATTTTTTTATTAAGTGCAGGTGCAGATGATACTGGGAGGCAAAACGCCTCGCTCGATCCAAAACACCCGCTCCCGGGGCTTGGGTTCTTCGTGCGGCTCTGGGAGTTTCGCCTTCCCCTCGCCTGTTAGGGTTACGCCGTCGCCCCGGCCTACGCCGACTGGATTCAACGGGGTGCGGGCGGACGCTGGAGAAGAAGGTCTCCTAGGGCCTCGCCGCCGAATGGATCCCGCCGCAAAGCGGGTCGCCCCAGGCAGCAAATGGACCAGAGACCCGCAGCTCGGGGACCTCGTCCTCGCCAAGGTCAAGGGCTACCCTTACTGGCCAGCCAAGGTCCAGCCTACACCCCTGCCATGCCTTCTACCTAGGGTTTTCTTCCCCCATAGCTAGCCAGTTCCCTCCCTCTCTGCTTCTTTCTTGGCCACAACTCTGCCTGCCTTTTTTTTTTTCAAAAAGAGGGGAACGCCTGAATCTTGATATGTCGATGACACTGACCGTGTGCTTCAGTCTTGGGGGCTAATGCTTCTTGTCTTATGCAGGTGTGCAGGCCGGAGGATTGGAAGCTGCAGCCTTCTCCGCGCAAGTTCTTCGTAGTCTTCTTCGGCGCCAAAGATATGTAGGACCGTCCTCTTGCTCATCAGTTACCACTTGCCAGCTCCTTAACTCGCCATGTTTAACTGTGTTCTAACTGCCAGTTATCACCGTGGATGACTTATCGGATACACAAATGCCACATGGCTCCGTGCTCTTGATAGATGCACCACTTCATACTTGTTTTTTTTTTTTTTGTACCGCGCATGTTCTGAGAATCATCTAGCACCTGCACAAAAACTAATTAGTTGAGATCACGCACAGGAGACACTAAAACTTTCTTGTAGATATTTAGTTATTTATCCCCAATTTATTACCTCGCTAAGTTCATCTGTGTCGAGGCACGCCGTCTGTCATAAGTAGTTAACTATCTTTGGGAACATTAGTACGTCTGCTATAGTGAGAATATATTTCTTATTTTTTGGGAAGATGGATTTTTACGTACTAATTCTTGAAAGATGGAAAAATAGATGAGTACAGTATATCTAAGGCCTCCACCACCACACTGTGATCAGAAGGCGGAGCGATCATTTCATTCTAATTTAGACTTTTCAGTTTTCATTCTTCCTATTTTGTTTTACCAGAGTGTTACTTCATCTGCCCTTATGTCTATACTAAATATCCATATGGTGTACAAGTTTAAGTCGTGCGAGTATTGGCTCCACCAATGATCTAAGCTTGCACATTGTTGTGCAAGGTCAGTCTAGGGGGTATAATTATTCATAGAGCGAAAGATGAAAGTATAGTAATTTTACTTTAGTTGATTTCCAAAGTTCACACTCTTGATTTCTAATTTGATTAGTCTTTTTGATTATTCATAAGTACTCTTGACCACTCCTACGGCCTTTAATCTTTCAAATAGTAAAAATGAGAACTTTTTTAGTTGTATTGTATCCTAGCCTGTGCAGCAAACTTAACTAAAAATGTTGATTATTTTGTTCTATTTAAATTCTGGTAGGTAATGTGGTTCGTTCGGTGATCCTTCGTGACGCCACCCGTGCCTAGTTTTCCTTACTAGTTCACCGTCGGAGTCGGAGCTCTGCTGTCTAGTATGGATTGTATGGAGTGTTGTGCTGCAGCTTTTGGCTGTTTTTTTTCTTTTTTCTTTGATCTTCGGATCCTCTGGTCCTAGGACCTTCACCACCTTGTTGTTTTCCGTTGCTTCCTGCTATTACTTTCAATTTTTATTTTTATTTTGGTGCTAATAGAATAACTAAATTACTCAATCTGTTTGATTCAGTCGGTTGCTGTAGCATATAAGGTGCTTTCTACGTGAAGCATTTCTTTAATTGCTTTAAAACCATGTAACCATTTCGTCTGGATACGATATTGGTTTGTTGCCATTGCTGTCTTCGACATCTTTTGTAGGTTGAAGTATAAGTAATGCATGGTTGCTAATGAATGAATATCTTCTACAGTGCTCATGTAGCCTTGCAATATCTCTTGCCATTTACAGAAGAGGTGAAGAGTGACTTGGTAAATCAAGCTCGAGAGAAACGATTCCCGGTAAGACATGCGAAGGGTCTTGAAGAAGCCTTGGTGGAGATACTCGAGGCCTATGATGAACTGGCAAAATCATCTGAAATTGCCAATGGTTTGTTGCCAGATCAAAGTCTTGATCCCGTTGGAAAACCTACAGAGCCCCTTGTAAAAACACGTGATGGTGGTGGGACTCCTAAACTGGAACAACTGCCAAAGTCATCTGAATCTGCCAATGGTTTGTTGCCTGATCCAACTCTTGGTCTGATTGAAAAACCTACAGAGTCCCTTGTAAAGACACGTGACGATGGTGGCACTCCGAAACTGGCGCAACTTCCAAAATCATCTGAAACCGCCAATGTTTTGTTTCCTGATCAAATTCCTGATCCGATTGAAAAACATACAGAGCCCCTTGTAAAGCGACCTGCTGATGGTGGGACTCTAAAACTGGAACAAACTGATGATTTCCAGAAGAGGTACTCGAGCCTCAATAGAAGAAAAAAGAGAGTTCCGTTTGCTGCCATTGAAGAGAGGAACTTGGAGGATCCCTATGGCATACCAAAATGCATTGCTGCGCTTGAAGGATTGCCGGAGTTGCAAATGGAAGATATACTAAAAGCAGCTGACCTCTTCATGGATAACAAGGGCAACAGAGAAGTCTTCCTCTCTTTTTCCAGTAGCGCATTGCGGCTTGGCTGGTTAAGAAGAAAAATTCACAACACCAGTGAAATGGCTGGTTAAGAAGAAACATTCAGTACACCTTGTGAAATGGCCAGTTAAGAAGAAATATGCCCCTTGGAGAAGATTTTTGCGTCAATTACAAGGGTTGGTTTTGTATGCGGTTCTAAACACACTTGTGGTACTACTAATGCAATGTTAATGGTACGTAGCAAATTATCTAGTGCTAAGGTGTTGGGCTAACTTTTGTGTGTATGTGCCCCTGGGCAGATGTGCTAGTACTAGTGCAATGTTAAGTGACACTTGATCACAAATCCATTTAATTTAATTGAGTATAACTAGTTGTAGCACAAACCAAATTATTCTAGATTTATTACATATGGTTCATTCCCTTGCGATGTAGTCAGCCCACATTGCCTGTTGCCATGGCATCTCGCATGTTGTCAAAAAATTGCCGCATGCTGTCAAATAATGGCACATCAATTTGGGCATCTCCATCTGGTACAGCGTGTGCATATTACTTTTCACTTGAATCATCTACAGCCGGACTGATGAGGAATAATAGATGAGAAAAAAAAGAAGAAAGAAAAAACACATGCCATATCTATTTGGCTACTTCTAGATACTTCCACTCTAGTGTAGTATTTCTTTTCTTTTGTTTACCCTACTTGCTGTTTCTAGAGTTATTTATTTATAAGTAGCTGTGAGTAGAATGATGAATCCTAAATAATGTTTTCTAGAGTGTTCCAGCTATAAGTAGAAGTATGTGAAGACTTCTGAAAGCCCTATAGATAGAGGTCTTCACCTCTACTTTGTACCCCGGACTATGTACCCCCACTACCTATAATAATAGAACTTGGTGTTCTTATCTAAGATCTTGTAGTAGATCTTGTGCTAGGAGTTTTGGATTGAACTGCTGCTGGTATATCAGCCCTACCTCCACCCCTAGAGCAATATCTAGCGCAACATGTTGAAGTAGTTTCTTAACACTTGTGTTGTACACATTGTAAAAGCCAGGTGGAGTTGCTCCTCCACAACCTTGTGCTGCTTCAGATGGTAGCAGAGCTCCGTTGATCCATACTAGTTCTTGTGGTTCTCTTTGAGAGCGAGCTGCAGCAATGGAGCAATTGGAGAAGAGGATGGATGTTGTAGAACAACAAATCAAAGAGTTGCGTGAAGATCTTAACCGAAGATTTGACCAGCTGGTTGAGATGATAAGAAAGGTTGCCCCCCTATTGCCAATGGAGATTCATCTAAAGAAGAAGGAGATGCTCAACAAAGAAGAAGGAGAGGTAATCTTGGAGCAAGACCGCCACATCAACGTGTTGTTCAACATACTTCAAGAAGACCAATTTATGTTGAAGTTTCTAAAGGTGAAGAATATGATGATGCCCTTGAAGAACCTAATCTCTATGCTTACCAAAGAGTACCCAACCCTACATAGCCAAGGGACACATACAAGGTGAAAGCCGAGTCCCAACTTTTAATGAAAATATTGATATTGAAGGGTGCCATGATTGGTTATATGAAGTGGAGACTTTCTTTGAGATCATGGAGGTTCCAGAAGACCGTAGAGTTCCTTTGGTCACGTACAAGCTGAAAGGAGGAGCCAGTGCATGGTGGCATCACGTTCAAGAAGAACGCAGGCTGAGAGGAGAACCTCGTGTGAGAACTTGGCGGCAAATGAAAAGTCTTTTGAAGGGGAGATTTTTACTCGCTGATTATGATCAGATCCTATTTATCCAATTCCAAAATTGTGCCCAAGGAAATAGGCCCGTTTCAGATTACACGGAGGAGTTTCTAAGGCTACAAGTGAGGTGCAACCTTACTGAAACTGAAGATCAACAAGTTGCAAGGTACATCAATGGTCTAATGATGCTATTCAAGATCGATTGATGATGCAACAAATCAGACCCATTAATCAAGCACAAGCCCTAGCATTAAAGGCCGAGAGGTTTATGAGGACAAGAAAGACAACTAAGGCTCCATATCCTCCATATCCTCATACCGAAGGCTTTTCAAAGGATCACACTAATAGAGAAGAAGAAAAGACCGCTCCACCAAAGGAAAAACGACCCATCCCGAAGCAAACTAGAGGCAAGGGTAAGGCAAATGAAGGCCCAAAGTGCTATAAATGTGGTAAAAAGGGACACATATCCAGCGGTTGCCCACTAAGAAGATTTGTTAACACAACTATCCATGATGGCGAAGACGATGAGGAAGAATAAGAATCTGAAGATGTAGAGGGACAAGAGGTTTGTCAAGAAGAAGGTGAAGAGGTGGTATGTATGACTCAGTGTCTCCTATGCTCCACAACACAACCTGGCGACACACAACGGAAGAAAATATTCAAATGCACGGTGAATGGCAAGGTATGGAAATTAGTGATTGATAGTTGCAGTTGCGACAATCTTATCTCCCCGAAGTTGGTGAATCATTTAAAGCTTGATACTACACTATTGGGTGGATTAGAAAAAGAAGAAGAAGAAAGAAAAAAACACATGCCAGATCTGTTTGGCTACTTCTAGATACTTCCACTCTAGTGTAGTATTTCTTTTCTTTTCTTTACCCTACGGGTTGTTTCTAGAGTTCTCTAGTTATAAGTAGCTGTGAGTAGAATGGTGAATTCTAAATAATGTTTTCTAGAGTGTTCCAACTATAAGTAGGAGTATGTGATGGCTTTTCAAAGCCATATAAATAATGGTCCTCACTTCTACTTTGTACCCCAGACTATGTACCCCCACTACTTATAATAATAGAACTTGGTGTTTTTATCTAAGATCTTGTAGTAGATCTTGTGCTCTAGGAGTTCTGGATTGAACTCCTGCTGGCATATCAGCCCTACCTCTGCCCCTAGAGCAATGTCCAGCACATCACGTTGAAGTAGTTCATTCAACACTTGTGATGTACACATTGTAGCAACCAGGTGGAGTTGCTCCTCCACAACCTTGTGCTGCCTCACGGACCCCTTTATTCTCCATATAGGACGGTTCGTTAAAAAATCGCGACCCAACCATACCCCTCGTATCGACCATATATGTCTGGGCTGACCGACACCCCTCATATCCAGCTCATATCTGGGACGGATATGGGGAGGCCTGGACGCAGCTAGGCGTATCTGCCACATCGAATCTGACCAACGCTGGTACATCCCGACCGTACAAACATCCCTAACTATCGACATCTGGAAGAAACCCTAGCCACTTGCCGCTCCACCCCACTTCGAGCCCGTGTCGCTCCGTCCTAACTCAGCTCCTCTTCGGCGATCTCCAACCTCCTCCGCCATGTCGAGAAGTGGATCCGACTCTGGCCCTCCGAATTCGTCGACTGGGACATCTTCCCATGCAGGGACGAGGAGGAGATGGTCGTCCGCTTAGCTCTCCGCCACTCCAGGGAGAATCCGCCCGACCATGGGCAGAGTCGATCCGGCAGGAGTCCATTGTGTTTGTGCAAGAGGCGCTTGGATCCGGCCGCACCGGTAGCTCGAGGCGCATGTCTTCGTCGAACGTCACCGGGTTGCTGATGCAACCCTTGCGATGGAACCTCGACTCCTTGACGTTGGGCTCCGAGTTCGAGATAAACACCGGACGATGGCCCAACCATGACTGCGCCGAGGCGTGGCATGCCTGTCGGGTGAGGAACAGAGCGCGACAAACAGTGGAGGCAGAATCACATGTTGGGTCGCACATCGAGGATGCACTCTGAGGCCGCATCCTCGCAAAGAGGCAAGCCTAGATGGTCTATGCCCTCGGAAAGGAACTAAACTAGGAGGCCCGTGCTATCGCCGGGCTGCCCTCCCAAAGAGGAGGAGGGCAAGGCTGGTGACTGGCCGGACAGCCGGCAGTGAGCAGATCCAATTCTATTCATTTTGCATGTTCGACCGCTACTTCCGCGATAAAGGTGGCAAGGGTAAAGGGCAGCCATGAGTGAACTTTCTCCATAGCTCTAGTATTTTAGAACATGCAAATTGTCGATATTCCGATGGTATGTGTGATGAAGTAGAAACGTATCAATTTTTTGTAATCCGATGACATGTATAATGAAGTAGCCGTATGCTATGTGTGTGATCGAAATGTAGTACGTGAGTTATGTTGCACGACATTGTGTCAATCTGCTAATGAGGTACCTACGATGCGGACATTTGAGGGGTGACCGGTCAACGTGCGTGGATGGATCCGGCCACATCCGCGGATGTTTAGAGCATCTCCAATAGCATGTGTATATTTGGATGTCTATATATTCATATAGACAATGGTCTAAAAAGATTTCCTCGTATACACATTCAGTTTTGCATCAGAACGTCTATATACAGGGACCATGACAGGTGGGCCGTTGCTGGGGAGAGGAAGAAATTATGACTACAACTGAGTTTAGACAACGCCTTCACATTGTCCAGGCGTGGACATTGTCGAGGTCGATTTAGAGGATGTGTATATTTGAACAACCATATAGACAAGCTGTTGGACGCCTGTTTTGGGCTCACGTCGTGAAAAACGAGTATAGACATCCATATAAACATGCTATTGGAGATGCTCTTAGGAGGGCGGATTTGCCGGGTCCGGTTGTAGACTTCGGCACATCTCTCGGGCAATGACTTGTCACCAGTATACAGCCGTATGAAATTGTGCATTGCAAACAAGCCGTAGACATGTCAATTCTTCATAGGATTGTGGCTTTTGCTGGGCTCTTTGCTTCTTGCAAATGAATTTCAACAAGAAGCAATGAACTGAGGTCCATTGCAGAAGACATCCACATGTACATGTGAAAAGTTTAATCGTTTTCTAAATCTGTAAATATGAGTTTGTATACTACAAAAACACCGGCCTTGGTGGAGTCGATTTACCTGCGGAGTGGGGCTTCATGCATCACTCTGATACAGTAATTCTCCTTTTCTTAAAAAAAGAAGAGCTAACTGTGGCGTGTCCTGGCACTGCAGCTTCTTGTAGTACAAAACATGTCCAAGATCCATGCTCCTACCTGTCTGTCGCACGATGCTAGTAGGGTAGGCATGCACGCTCCTGGACGCCTTTGGTCGATATCAGCAACCGCTGCAGCTCGCCTGA